GGGGCTAAGCCTCAAGGCGGCGGTGATGGACAGACCCCGGTCTCGACGCGGTGGCACGGAGGACGGATCGAACGGGCGTCTGCGCTGCGCTGGCTGGGTAGAGAAAGGGGAGGAGGAGCAGGAAGGGGAGGTGAAGGAGGAGGTGAAGGATGCTGTTGGCTTGCACTGCCGTGAGGGTGGTTGGCCCCTGCCCTCCGCACGGGCGTAGGGCTCGCCCCATCCTGCAGTGGTGGCCCGGCTCCTCCTCCCCCTCTTCCCCCTCCTCCTCCTCCTCCTTCCTCCTCCTCCTCCTCCTCCTCCTTCCTCCTCCTCCTCCTCCTCCTCCTTACCTCCTCCTCCTCCTCCCTCCTCCTCCTCCGCCTCCTCCTCCTCCTCCTCCTCCTCCTCCTGTCCCGCAGTGGAGCTCATCCCTCCGCAGCCCCGAGAAGCCGGGCTCTTGGCGTGCAGGGGCCGCCGAGGAGCCCCAGCGGAGGAGCCGAGGCCCTCACGGCACAGCAGCGCGCCGGGCCGACGGCTCTCGCTCCCGACCTCAGCCTCGGGCCCCCCTGTGGGAGCCGCAGCCGCTCACGGATACGGCTGCTCTAGAAGAGGGGAAAACATCGCCATAAGCATAGGCCTCAAAATAAGAATAAAAGACAGCATCACATATAAGAAGAAAAACCGCCACAAACATCAACTTGTGGCTGAGCCGGAGGGGCGGGCCCAGGAGACCAGGGGCGGCGCGGGAACCGCCGCCGGGGGGGCCCCAGCGCGGATACAAGGAATCCGCGCGGAGCGTTCAACAGTTTGTTTATGCCGTTCCCGACCGATCAGCACTCGCATCTACAGCCGCACGTCGAATTCGTCGGCCAGCTCGGCCGACCCAGTAAACCGGGGGTCGAGCTCCATCACCACCTTCGCCTCCCGCCCGCCCTCCCCCCGACCTCATCATTGGAGGCTTGGAAATTGACACCAACACCAACACAGGGGGGTGCCTCCACCGGGGGAAGGTGATCCTAGATTTCGGTGTTGGTGGTAATCTTTCGGCCGCCTAGGAGGCCAGAGTATTACCACCATCACCGAAATTGGGATACTCTTCCCTCAGTGGAGGCACAACGCCGATGTTGGTGTTGGTGTCAACCTCTAGGCCTCCGACATCAGCGTCGCAGAAACCGAACTCGCGCAGTCATCGAGGCAAACGGCACTGCCACTCCGCAGTCCGGACCGCACGGCGCTCACGGCCTCCGACAGAGGCCTCTCGCTCCGCACCTGCGGCCCGCAAGGCCGCTCCTTTCTTCGCCGGCCCGTCGCATCGCCGCTGCCGCCCATCTCCCCACGACGTGGACTCCGCGAGCGCTCTGCGGGCCTTCCACTTCGCACCTCGGGCCGAGGTGCCGACTTTGGACCACCTCAGTCGCGAGGGTCGGGGGCCTTGGACGAGGAGGCACAGACGACCGCTCCAGCGCCATCGCCGGAGACCTGCGGCGGCATGCCGCCGCCTCCGCCCGCCCGGGGGGGCTCGGCAGAGCTGGCCTGAGGCGCGAGGCGCTCCCCGTCCCGAGGCACCGCCCCGCGCCCCACTGGTCGGACCCCCCGCCCCGAGGCACCACCCCGCACATGCAGGCCACGAGAAGGTCCGACCGATCCAGCTGCGCAGCAAGCGTGGCCGGCTCCGAATCGGTGCGCGGAGGGCCGATGCATCCGCGAGGACGGGCCCACCCACCCCTTCCGAGCTCGGGCACGGCCCCGACGACGCGCAACTGGTGCCCCCCTGGAGCCAGGGGAGAATCCTGGAGGGTCACTGGGCTGGGGTTGGGTCGGGCATGTCCCCCGAAAGGCGGATTCTGGACGAAAAATGATTTTAGCCTGGCGAAGGACCCAACCATATGCATATGTGAATACCGCAATTGTGAATATCATTTTCGGTGGCGCTACGTGTGGGACCACGAACCGCGTAAGGGGCGTGCCGACATGGGCGGCGGGGTACACGACACGAACGAAGACGGTAGGTCGAAGTACGGGAGATTGCGCGCATGTGGGTCTGATCGAGAGTGAGTCTGATTGTGAATGAGTCTGCGCGCGAGCGAGTCTATGTGCCTGAATGCGAGCTGCCGAACTGGAGCGGCGTTGCCCTGCGGACCCTCTCGCTGGTGCCTTCGGTGGAGCTCCCTATGGGGCCACGCAACGTGTGAGGGGTGTGCCGAAATGGAGCAGCGGTGCCATGCGGACCCTCGGGCTGGGGCCTTCGGTGGAGCTCCCTACGGGGTTACGAAACGTGTGAGGGGTGTGCCGAAATGGGGCGGCGGTGCCATGCGGACCCTACCGCTGGGGCCTTCGGTGGAGATCCCTTCAAGGGCCACGAAACTTGTGAGGGGTGTGCCGAGATGGGGCGGCGGTGCCATGCGGACCCTCCCGCTGGGGCCTTCGGTGGAGTTCCCTATGGGGCCACGCAACGTGTGAGGGGTGTGCCGAAGTGGGGCGGCGGTGCCATGCGGACCTTCCCGCTGGGGCCTTCGGTGAAGCTCCCTATGGGACCACGAAACGTGTGAGGGATGTGCCGAAATGAGGCGGCGGTGCCATGCGGACCCTACAGCTGGGGCCGTCGGCGAAGCTCCCTCTAGGGGCCACGAAGCGTGTGAGGGGCGTGCCGAAATGGTGGCAGCGGTGCCACGCGGACCCTCCCGCTGGGGCCTTCGGTGGAGCTCCTTTTGGGGCCGCGAAACATGTGAGGGGTGTGCCGCAATGGAGCGGCGGTGCCATGCGGACCCTCCCGCTGGGACCTGCGGTGGAGCTCCCTATAGGGCCACGAAACGTGCGAGAGGAGTGCCGAAATGAGGCGCCGGTGCCATGCGGACCCTCCCACTGGGACCTTCGGTGGAGATCCCTGTAGGGGCCACGAAACGTGCGAGGGGTGTGCCGAAATTGGGCGGCGGTGCCATGCGGACCCGCCCGCTGGGGCCTTCGGCGAAGCTCCATATAGGGCCGCGAATTTGCGAGGGGTGCGTCGAAATGAGGCGGCGGCGCCATGCGGACCCTCAGGAAGGGGGAGGAGGAGGAGGAGGAGTGAGTGAGTGAGAAGCGGGGCGCTGTCTCTTTAAAACGAGGACCCAACACCACAGGATGGTTGGAAAAAAAAGAAATAATGCAAGACGATGTTTTGACTCTTTTTGACCACTCGCTGGGCTGGTTGCCCGAGTGAAGGTCTTTTCGCTCCACTCTGGAGTCCCCGGGGGGGGCCCCTGGGTCTCGTGGGGCGTGCTCCTCGGGGGGCGGAGGAGGAGGAGGCGGAGGAGGAGGAGGCGGAGGAGGAGGCGGAAGAGGAGGAGGAGGAGGAGGAGGAGGAATAGGAGGAGGAGGAGGAGGAGGAGGAGGAGGAGGAGGAGGAGGAGGGAGGAGGGAGGAGGAGGAGGAGGGAGGAGGGTGAGGAGGAGGAGGAGGATTCGACGACGAGTGGGCATGGGAGCCACGCCGTGCGGGCGCGGGCGTGAGCATCGTTCCACCGCCCCCCCTCCCCCGGCGGCGGGGCCCGGGCCCCGCGGGCCGATTTTCACCCCCCTGCAGCTGGGGAGACGGGCCGCTCCCTCCGGGCTGCGAGGGGGGTGGTGATTTGGGCGGGGGCCTCGAAGGGAATGGGGATGGGGACCCAGACCTCGGGCGTCTCGAAAAAATCGAGACATTGGTTTTTCATAGTTTTTGGCTTCTCGGGGCCCTCGCCGGGCCTCGGGGCCGTCAAAAAACGACTCGGGATGAAAAACCGGTCCCAGGGAAGTGGTCGGGAGGTCGGGGGCCTGCGTCTCGAAAAAATCGAGACGTCGGATGTCTGGGGACCCAGAGATCCGACGTCGCGATTTTTTCAATACGGGGTCCAGGAGAGGCCCGACCCTTTCCCCGGGGCCGGCCTTTCGTCCCGAGTCGCTTTTTTTTGACGGCCCCGAGGCCCGGCGAGGGCCTCTAGAGGCCGAGGATGGCCAAAAACCTCCGTCTTGAATTTTCGCAATACGCTGGATCTCTGGGGATGGGGATCGGTGAAACGATGCTGAAAGGTGACGCCGGCGCAGGGCACCGAGCGGCATCGGGGAGGGGGTCGCAGTGCCGGTCGCGGTGAGGGGGGGGGGGCGGCGGGGCGAGGCCAGCTGTCGCGGCCGAGGCCGCGGGCGCGCGGGCAAGGTGGAGGGGGCCCGGGGGCACACAAGTAGGCACACACACACACACACACACACACACATCCGAGGATCCCCCACATTTTTCCATATTTTCTGGATGGACACACACACACACATCCGAGGATTCCCCACATTTTTCCACATTTTCCCATATTTGTCCGCGGGCAAGATGGAAGGGGCCCGGGGACACACAAGTAGATACGCACACACACACACACACACACACCCACCCACACACACACACACACACACACACACACACTTCCCAGTTTTTTATACATGGGATTCCTAAACATATAGGATTTTTAATACATGGTGAATGTATGAAGAAATGTGTGCGTGAGCTCCTCCTTGTTTTTCGTAATCAATCCCTGCATGTTTTAATACATGATCCGCACGCGGAGCATGTATTAAAAACGGCACTGTACACACACACACACTTCACAGGATTCCCCACGTTTTCCTATATTTTCTGGATGGCCGTCTTCCCCCCCACGTCCTATGTTTGCCCCCCTTTTCCGGGGAGTCGACGAGTCACTGTGTCTGTGTTTTTTCCCCTCCTGAAAGGTCCAGGTCGGGCTGAAGTCGGTACGAAGGTTGACGTCAAAACTGGGAGAGCGAGGAGAAAGGCACGGCCTACCCACCTGATCCGTCAGCTCGGGGGAGCCCGTGACGCTCCTGCGCCCTCAAAGCGTTCGAAGAAGTAAGGGGGAAAGCCGCAAGATGAGGACAACTGAGAAGAGGAGGGGGGAAGGATGGGACGGGAGAGGAGGAGGAGGAAGAGGAGGACGACGACGATAACGACGCCCGAGTGCGAGGAGGATCGCAGGATGGCGCCAGCTGCGCATCGGTGCATGCGTCCGCCTTTTCCAAGCGGCCCCACGAACCCTGGGTCACCTGACTTGGCGCGTCGCGCCCCGCGACGCGCGGGCGCCTTCGCACCCTCGCGCCGAACGGGCAGCGGCGCTGGCCCAGACTGCGACTCGCTAGGGCGCCACATGCGAACCCTACCCCCTGCCCCCCACGAGTTCTGAGGGGGAGGGTGGGGCTCACATCGCTCGGGAGCTCCCGAACGAGGTGAACCCCACCATCCCCTTGAGAGATCGTGGGGGGTAGGGGTAGGGTTCGCATGTGGCCCCCTACTCGCAAAGCGATAGGGGGCCGCATGCGAATAGGGTTCGCATGTGGCCCCCTATTCGCATGTTCGCGGAGGGCACCAACTGTACACCAACACCGATCCTGGCCAGGATCACCCTGGGCCCGGGATCGGTGTATACGCCCTCCTGCCTTGGCCAAGAAGGCACATACACCGATCCTGGGCCCAGGGCGATCCTGGGCCAGGATCGGTGTTGGTGTACCCAGAGATCCGATGTCGTGATTTTTTCAATACGGGGTCCTCGGAAGTCCCGACCCATTCCCCAGGACCGGTTTTTCATCCTGAGTCGTTTTTTGACGGGCCCGAGGCCCGGCGAAGGCCACCGAGGGCCGAAAATAGCAAAAAACCTCCGTCTTGATTTTTTCAATACGTTGGATCTCTGGGTATACTTGGTGCCCTCCGACCCCGAGGAGACCCTGCGGGCGGCGGCTCCTTTTTGTCCTGGCTTCGGCTGTATTGGTGCACCCCCGGGGGCCGCCTGCGCAGAGCGCAAACCCGCCGACCCCCGCCTGCAGGGGGGTGGAAGCCGGCGGCGCGCACGAGGGGGTGGCGCCCAAGGGGGCGGGCGTCGAAAAGGGCGGCGGGGCTCCGAGAGAAGACACCCAGAGATCCAATACGTATTGAAGAAGTCAAGACGGAGGTTTTTGGCTATTTTCGGCCCTCGGTGGCCTTCGCCGGGCCTCGGGACCGTCAAAAAACGACTCGGGATGAAAAGCCGGTCCTGGGGAATGGGTCGGGACTTCCGGGGACCCCGTATTGAAAAAATCACGACATCGGATCTCTGGGAACGCCGCCCGGACGTTCCAAAAGAAGGCCTCTCGGACGCCCAAGGGGGTTTGGAGAAGAGAGGGGCCCACGGACACACGAAGAACTGCACGCAGAGCCCCGGATGCCCCGTGCCATCTCCCACATCTTCGGGGTTGCCGTCTCCCCCCCGACTTCCGGGATTCTCCTGGGACTCGACGATTCCTTGCGTCTGTGCGTTTCCTGCCCTCCCGAGAGGAGCCACGCGCCTCTTTGAAGCCGCCCCCGGCTTCGCAGGAGGCCCCCCCCGCGCGCCGCAGGGAGGAGGGCGTGCGAGAGGGGGGCGGCCCTGGCAGCGGCAAAGGGGGGGCCGGGAACGGGGCTCTCTCGGAACACCCGTAGATTTATCGGAAGCTCCTCCTCCTCCTCCTCCTCCTCCTCCGCCTCCTCCGCCTCCTCCTCCTCCTCCTCCTCCTCCGCCTCCTCCTCCTCCGCCTCCTCCTCCTCCTCCTCCTCCCCTCCCTCCTCCCTCTTCCTCCTCCTCCTCCTCCTCTCTCCTCCTCCTCTCTCCTCCTCCTCCTCCTCCTCCTCCTCCTCCTCCGCCTCCTCCCCCCCCTCCTCCTCCGCCTCCTCCTCCTCCTCCTCCTCCTCCTCCTCCTCCTCCTCCTCCTCCTCCTCCTCCTCCTCCTCCCCTCCTCCTCCGCCTCCTCCTCCGCCTCCTCCGCCTCCGCCTCCTCCTCCTCCTCCGCCTCCTCCTCCTCCTGCTCCTCCTCCTCCTCCTCCAAATCACGGAAGCCCACAGGTGGCTCCATACGGCCCGCTTACCGCCCAAGATGGGGACCACGACCATGCTCACCATCGTCGTCCTCCGCACCATCGTCACCACCACCACCATCATCACTATCATCGCCATCGCTATCACCACCAGCATCATCATCATCAACATCATCATGGACACCACCGCCACCATCTTCGCTACCGCCACCTTTTAGCATCACATCCGTCGTCATCAACACCTTCGCAACATGACCGCAATCACCACCAGCATCATCGCCATCAGCATCACATCATCGTGTTCATCGTGCCGATCGTGCTCGCACGAACGAGCGAACGAAACACCACAACGGACAGATGTCTGGGCCTGGTTATGACCAGGTGGGTTGAGCCACTACGTTACGGATCTGGCATGTATGACAAACAGAGACATGCATTGGAAGTGCACGACGCAAAAAAATACTGATGAGGACGAACCCGTGGCTGTGGATGACGGCGTCACGTTTCGTCGGAGTCATGGCGCTCGGGTGTCGACCATGTTGATATGTGTTGCGCCAGGCGAACCCAGGCGAGGTCGTTCGGTTGGCCTTCTACATTGGTTGGTGTGGTCGTTGGGTGCCAGTCTGGTTCGCGTAGTTGGCAGAACGTCATGACGGCGTGTCCCAACGCTTGCGCTGGCCACTTTGTTGTTGGTGACCTCGCTGGCGTAGATTCTCCTCATGTTTCCAATGGGGAGAAGGAGGAGGAGGAGGAGGAGGAGGAGGAGGAGGAGGAGGAGGAGGAGGAGGAGGAGGAGGAGGAGGAGGAGGAGGAGGAGGAGGGGGGGAGGAGGAGGAGGAGGAGGAGGAGGAGGAGGAGGAGGGGAGGAGGAGGAGGAGGAGGAGGAGGAGGAGGAGAGGAGGAGGAGGAGGAGTTGGTGGCCTCGTGGTCTGCAGCCCTCGGCGCCATGCGCCGAGTTCTCTGCTTGCAGAGCTTCCATTATGCAGCGTGGTGGCGCTGCGTGAGCTGCTGCGCGCGCCGCGTGGCTCGCTCGATGCAGTCGACTCATGGCTCCAGCGTGTCTTCATCATCGTTGCTGTTTTTGATATCGTTGCGTTGGTTTGCTGTGTCTTCCTGAGTGGGGCGTTGCTGACGGCGTCGTCGGTGCTGTCGTTACCGTCGAGGTCTCTGTCAGGTGCCTCGCCGCTCGCGCAGTCGTCTGCGCCGCCCTGGTTACTGCTAGGGGTCGTTTGCTGGGACATGCGTCACCTTTGGCGCGTTAGTTAGCGCGCGGGGCACGCGCCGCTGCTTTCGCCGCAGGATTTGACGCAGAAGCTCCATGGGCGCCCGCGCCTCTGCTCCGCATCGTGCCGTCGGTATTGCGGTGCTGTTGAAAAGCCGCGGTCGGTGCGCCAGCAGGTGGCGTTTGCTGGTCAGTTCCTGCTGGCGCGACATGCGCGATGCACATGCAGCTCCCGCGCGGCGGCGGACATCGGTACCCATCGCGTCGCGAAAGCCAATGCGTTGACAGCAGTACCGCATGCTGCCCGCGCGCTGAAGGATATCGATGCGCACGCCTCACGCGCGCACCGCGCGCGAGCTTGCCTGGCCGGCCCGTCTCGCCCAGTTGCTGAATACTTCGGTTTGGGAAGGGCGCGGTCCGAGTCCGCGAGGTCGCGCTGCGCGCGCGACGTCGCCGAGCATAATGTTGAGACGCGGGGGTGCTCGGTTGCGGCGCTCATCGCGCTCATCATCAACATCAACATCATCAGCTGCATCGCCGCCATCGCCATCAGCTTCATCGACATCGTCGCCATCGCCATTATCACATCACCAGCACCAGCATCCCCATCATCATATTGCTCGCAGACGGCCCTGGCCATGCAGCGCAAAACTACCCAGGATAAAGCCGCGACGGCCCCATGGCTGGCGCCGCGGCACGGCCCCGAGGTATCCCGCGAGGTTCCGGGGATGTCGCGCGGGGGCCCCTCAATGTTAAGGCCCAGTAAAGCGACCGGCGTGCTGACCCCCCCCCTTCGCGACAAGAGGTGCGTCGCGCTTTCGTCGCCCGTGGCCCGTGCGCCGCCCGTGCGTCGGCCGCCGAAAAGGCCAGCCGTCCTCTCGAACGTGCACGTCGCCCTCGCAAGGGGGCAATTTGGTGAGTGCGTCGCCAGCGCGGCGGACACCCGCGGGGCGGATCGCGCGCGCGTCGCCCGCTCCACGGCCGCTGAAAAGGCCGGTCGCCTTCGGGAAAAAGAAAGCCGCCCACGCTGCAGCCCGCTCGGCGAGAAGAAAGCGACCGCTGGGCGACCTCGGCAGATCAGCAAATCCCTCTAACATTACAAATGCAGCGATGCTGCTGAACGCGCCCCGGCGCTAGGCCAGCAGGTCCCCGCAGCCGCCTCCACAGCCTCCGCGACCGCCGCCAGCGCCAAAACTACCACCGCCACGATCACCACAAACGGATGCGACCGCAACCACATCCACCGCGACGGTTACGACCAACACCATTTACCGCCATCACCACCACCACCACGACCACCTCACTTCTCGCGACCACCACAACGACCGACACCAGCACGATCACCGACGTGACCACCACCAGCCCGCCCACCACCAGCGGCACGACCGCCGCCAACGCGACCAAGGCGACGAACGCGACCACGACCATGATCACCAACATGACCATTACAGAAGCACCCGCCCACTCCGTCCTCCCCCCCCCCCCATTCCCCTGCCGGGCCGCCCTTGCCGCCGCGCCCGCCTCGCGCCCCTGCCCCTCCCCCCTCCTTTTTCCCTGTCGAAATCTTCCTCTCCCACCGCCAGCGGCGGGGCCGTTCGCGGAAGGCGGGGGCGCCGCTCGCGGCGACGCGCCGCGGCCGTGGAAGGGGGGGCGAAGGAGAAAAAGAAAATGAAGAGGGACACGGGGTGGCAAGGGAAAAAAACAAAGACGAGAGAGGAGGGGGGAGGGACAGACAGAGGGGGGCCGGTAGAAAGGAGGAGGAGAAGGGGAGGAGAGAGGGAGACGAGGCAGGAGAGAGGACGAAGGAGGAGGAATGACAAAAGAGGAGGGACGACGAGGAAGGAAAAAGGGAAATAAAAGGGGCAAGCGCCGCCCTTCCTGGTGCAATGGAGGACGCAGCCGCCGCCGCTTGTGAACAGCGCGAGCACGGCGGGCCGACGGCCGCTGCGCATTGCTGCTCGGAGAAATGCTAGGGGCGGGCAAAGTCGCGACTGCGTCGCGCATGCGTCGCGCGTGCGTCGCGCGTGCGTCGCGCGTGCGTCGCGCGTGCGTCGCGCGTGCGTCGCGCGTGCGTCGCGCGCGTGGCGCGCGCGTCGCGCGTGCGTCGCGCGGGTCGCTCGTGCGTCGCGCGCTGGCAGGGGTGCGTCGCGCGCGGGTCGGGGTGCGTCGCGCGCGCGTCGCGCGTGCGTCGCGCGTGCGTCGCGCGGGCGTCGCTCGGGTCGTTCGCGCGTCGCGCGCAGGTCGCGCGCGAATCGCTCGAAGGGCGCCGTGGACTCCTGACGGCATGTGAACTGCACGGCCCGCTGGCGAAACAATCAAGGGATGCGCGCGGCAATCGTAGAAATAGCGAGACACGCACGTGAGAACTACGAACGCGAGAAGACCAATAGACGACATTGAGATGCAGCGCGTACGGACTAATCCATGTCAAGCGCACGCCCCGTTAGAATTTGAACATCGGTTCGTCGCTGCAGCAATGTGGCGACGTCTCGCCCGCCGATGCATTGGGGGAAAAAGAGGGCGGAAGTGGGGCGAGGGAAGGGCGGGCGGAAAAAGGGAACGGACGGGCGAGGAGGGGGCGCGCGGGGGCGGCGCAGCGGCGGCGGGAGCGATGGAAGGCAATCGAAGGGAGGCGGCGGGAGCGAGGAGGGCGAGAAGGAAGTTCCAGGAGGGTGGAATGACAACGGGGGGGGAGTAGGGAGGGGGACAGGACGGCAGCCTGACACAAACGAACTGAATACAAATTTCGCAAACGGGACAAAACGCGCAGCGCGTTGGTTGGACGAGGGGAAGAGGAAGGAAAGAGGGGGGGACAGGAGGATTTGGCGCGAAACGACATGGGGGCGCGGGGCGC